CTAGTAGTTCTTTTATTCATTTTTATATATTCATAGCACCTTACAGCCATGCAATTTATTTTTTTTTGGTGAAATAGTTAAATCACCAAAATGACATATATTAAAGCCGTATGTAGTTGAGGGAGGCATATGGGAAAAATGACATTTGTGGAATATGAGTTTTCATATTTTACAATTTGCACCTTCTCCAATACCTTCATATTCACCATTAATTCATTCCATCTAAGTATAACATATTCTAACTACTTAAAGCTAAAAAAATGCTCGGAAATAACTGCAAAAATAGTCATTACACACAGTACATACCTGTGAAATGACTCTGACGAAAGAGTTGATGAGATGAACTAGAAGAATCCGATGATCTATGAACAAAAGCATCGCCTTTAGTTCCGGCGCTTTTCTCTTCTCTGCGCTGGCTTCAATCTGCCCATTCTTCATATCAAATCTCTTGAAATACGCAAGGGCGAAAGCGTACGAGGCAGCACACACATATCTAGAAAACCAGTGAAGGGAAAGTCTCCCCATGGATGTTCACTCGATTGGCGTCTGTAAAACTCGTTGATAAATAAATGGCCGTGACCTTCACGACATGGCTCTCAAAGCTCACATGCACAATGTGGGCTTGAGATACGATTGGCAAATTTCCTTCACCTCGTACTGCTCCAAAACTTCACTTGTTCAGATATACTTCTCACGCTGTTCGTATCCTATGTTTAAAAAAAGATTAACTTCTGTTGTTCTTGAGAAGAATATCTGAACAAAAGAAGTTTTGGAACAGTTCGAGGATGCTGATCGAATCTCAAGCCGCCGGGAACTCCGAAAGAAAGGAAGAAAATCCACGGAAGAGAATTTCACAATAATGGGACTAGAGAGAGAAATCACCCAAATCATCCACAACCTTTCCAATAGCCTTGTCTCTTAATAAATAGTGTGAGGACCTATATACGCTCCACTCACTTTCACGTGCCCTTGTAACAAACCTCTGGATAACCATGTTCCATTCTACCATCCATTAACCCATAATCTTCATTGCTTATTCATATGGTCATCTTTTCATCATGCATCATGACATGAACCTTAGCTTGTCCATTTATTTAAATAAACCTTATACCTATTTGGTGTGTTCATTCGGCAGCTATATGAGATCAGATTGCACTGCACTGCACCGTATATAAGATCAGGTTATAGTGCTCAACAAGTTTAACTTTAATTTGCAGACGTCACCAATTATTATTTTCTTTCAGGCCAGATAGACCATGCACGAATCACGATCGAGGTTGCCAAAGCATGTATACATCAACTTATGCAAAGCGCCGAAATGATCAGCAATGAAGGGGTGGAGGTAAAGCAACAGAGTGGTTTTGTTGAAGTTTCGTTTTGGGATATTTAAAAAGTGACTTTCATTAATGATAGGGACCACATCCTGGATGCTCATGAAAATTGAAACAAAGAAATCAAAAGTAGCCCATGCCAGTGGTTACAGCTCATTTGTTACCTCTGGTACCCTTTTTTTTTTTTAATTACACTTCCCTGGTTATTTTCCCCCTTTAGGCCAACGCAATTATATTAAAATTTTAACAAAACATTAATTAAATTTTCATCAATGAAAATAGTGCTAGATGGAGAGCTCAAATATTCTTATTACTATTATTACTATTACTATTACTATTATTATTATCATTATTATTATAACAATATTTTCGTCAACTACTATTAAATTTAGTCATATTGATTATATTTTTATTATAAATTTTAAGGGGAACACTGAACTATAGATCCACAAGCGATTTGAATTTTAAACTTTTAAAAGGTATATTTTGAATCCTAAATAATTAAACTAGAAGCAATTTCACCCTCACCATTAAATTTCAACAAATATTTGTTAAAATGGAGCCTAATGCAAAATTTTCACCAAATGAGGATAGGAGAGAGAGGGAAATTGAAATTTGATAAAAATAACACATTATGCCCCAATTATTAAAAAACTAAATGACATTTTGTTAAAATTTAATGATGGAAGTGAAATTGCCCCAACTTTAATTGTTTAAAGTTTAAAATGTACCTTTTAAAAGTTTAGGGTTTATACTATCCTTGGACCTATAATTCAGAGTTCAAATTGACATTTCTAAAAAGTTATTTGTTTTATCTTTTTATTTTATAAATAAATTGACAGAAATTTTAATTCAGCATTCGATAACAAAACTATATACACACCATCCATTTTGTTAGAGATAAAGTTTATAAGATGATAAATTTCGTATACCACCTTATATGTAATCGCAGGAAAAGTTCAAGAACAATACCATAGCAATTATGGGATTGTTCTTCACTCTAACTACACCTGGATGGAATAGGCTAGCAACCTCTCATTTTCCCTCACTCTCATTTTTCCTCATTTTCCTTGTATCATTTTTAGATCAAAATTTTCAACCATTCCTGTTTAATATTTTATAAAATTATTACTACAGTTTAGAATCGTAATCAAAAAAAGTAAAACAATATTATTTATAAAATATTAAATCTTAATTATTCAAAATTTGATCCAGGTATTGAGATGGGAAATGAAGAGAAAGTTAAGGTTAAAAGAAATGGGGAGAAGTTGGTCACGAAGTTGCAAGATATAGAAGCAAAGACCAAAGCACAAAAGTATAAGAATGTTTCTGATAATGAAACCAATAAAACCATCCCCTTTTCTGTGATTGGCAGTTGGATATCCAATTTTGAAAACAAACACAAGCTCACATACACATACATGAGCCATCAGGGACCACATAATATCATGCATACGCTGCAGCATAATTAGGGATCTACTACTTTAATGTATCCTACTGTTAGACCAGTCTAATTATGTAGCTTCATATACTATCAAAAAAATTGATATTTTATCAAATTATTAGGCTAAAATATATATTTAGTCTTTTAACTTTAGATAACGTTTTATTTTAGTCCCTTAATTTTATAAAATATCTTTTTAATTCTTTAACCCTAATATTGCTAGTTTTTATCCCAATAAATTCTTGCATTAAACTTTTAAATGTTGACAAAATATTCTCAAATGTTAACATATTAAGTTTAATTTTTTTTCAAAATAACAATGATTGACACAAAAAATAATCATTTAAAACTAACGATGTTGAGGTTAAAGAACTACAAAGGTACTTTACAAAGTTAAAGAATTAAAAGTATACTTTAGCCAAATTATTATAATTTATAATAAATATATATAAATAAATTTAAACCATTCAAATTTCATCTAAATAATTTAATAAAACTGTAAACTATTCCCTTTAATCTTCTACTTGAAAAAAATATAAACTATCATTAAAATATTTAGAAAATATCATTCAAGGACTGATAGAAAAAATTTATATCAATCAAGAATTACTTGTTATCAAAACTTGAATGGATACTTGTCAATTTGGATTAGTTTTTTACCAACAAGTATCCATTTAGGTTTTAACAATAACTTATTTTAAATTAACAATAGTCATTCAGGCTTTTTTTCATTCAAGTTTTGACAACAACTAGTCCTTAACTGATAATATAAATTTTCTCCAGTGGTCCTTCATTGCTATTTTCCCTAAAATATTTTATAATGTAATTTGTTTTTCAAATCTTTTAAGGAAAATTAGTCAAAAAGACCAAGTTGGAAAGAAAATTGGTCTCAAGGACTAAATGCCCTTGAAAGACAAAGTTTATTATTTTATTTATTTAACTCTGTGTTGTGCTGACCAAAATGCCCCTATTGTTAACCTTTAGAAGTTCATGTTATTTCATCACATTTTTCTTAGATTCTAGTCCATTTTGGTTTAATTGTATATGTTTTTATTGGCCAATTTAGGAAAATGTGCATTTTATTTTGGGCTTGTGTTCTTGGCTTTAATTTGATATTTTTAGCCTAATTTCATGTTATTTTGATTAGAAGCATTTCTGGAGCTTTGTGGATATTTTTGGAAGGCTTTTGGATGAAGAAATCAAGAGCTAAATGAATGATTTTCGTTAGCTATAAAAACAGTGCAAAACTGCCAAAGTCGTCCCAAAGTCGTGACTTTCGTTCGCGAATTTCACCGATGTCAGAAAAACGCTGCGTTTTATTTATCAGAAATTAGTTGGCTAGGATACATATAAGCTGAGAACTCGACCCAGAATGTATTCTTCAGACTTTTAGACACTTTTGGAGCTTGGTTGTGCTAGGGTTTGGGCATTGGAAGAGTTGGGATCAAGAAATTGAAGCTTTGAAGACATTTGGAGCTCATTTTCTTCAGTTTTTCTATTCCTCTTCCCTTTCCTCTTTGTAATCTGAAATGGGTCCATTTATTTTGTATATTTATAGCTTGTGGATAATTATGAGTAGCTAAACCCTTTGTTCTAGGATTATTTGGAACCCTTATATGGATTAACACTATATTTCTCCTCTCTTTTTGTGATTAATGATATATATGTGTTTATTTTACTCTTTCCTTAATACTTCTACATGATTGGCCACCATTTAGATGTTGGGTTCACTTAATTGATGCTTGAGAGGGCTAGGTTGAGTGTAGAACTTGGGTAATATTGTGCAAGAACTTGATATTTGCGTGTTGAATTGATAGTTTTGTTAGTAAGATAGAGATATACTTGCTAATCTTGCATAGCCACATTAGAGTTGATGTTTAAAATTGAGTTTTATTAATTGTAACAAGAGATTAGGCAATTAATTTAACTAAACACTTGTTCATGACTTGAGAGAGCTTGTCCAAGTATTTTTAGAACCCTAGGTTAGCACTTATTTTCATTAAAAGCATTTTATGAGAGGGGGTAATTTTGGTGTTATGAAATGCAAGGGGGATAAATAATCCTAGGTCCTAAATTGTGTTTGAAGTTTGTGAATCACTCACTTTTCTTTATTTTCTAGTGTTAGTTTCATTTATAAAATCATTTCACCTAACTTTGTGTAGCTCAACTTGATCGAATTTACTTAGTCTTTTGCTTGGTCATTGTTTTTGAATAAATCCTCGAGGAAACGATATTTTACTCATTTTATATTACTTGCTACGATCCATGCACTTGCGGTGAGCAACACCTATCTTAAACAAAAAAATTTAAAAAGGAAAATAACATGTTTTCTATTCTTCACACAACTTGAACAAGAGAAGACTAGAACATGGTGGTGAGGGACGTTTTCAATGGAGTATCAATGGCTGTATGCAAGTTGTGAGCAATAAGTCTTGAGAAAGACAACATCATCTCTTCATTAGGTGCCTTAATCAGATGAGTTGTGATCGACGAGTCTTGAGCAATGAGGTTTGAGTGACTTCAAAGTGCCTTACAGTCGGTCGAAGGTGGAGCGAATGGTGATCTGAGTAACGACTAGGCATTGCATCAAAGCTGCCATTTTATCTAAGTGAGCACAATTTTGGTTTCCTCTTATTGTGAGTTGCTTCTTCTCTTCTTCATGCTATCTACACATAAGTGAAATGTGTGTTTTTCATTTAAACATAGCTTATCTCTATTCATATTTGAGGTTAACCCTAAACTTTCAATTGCTCAAACCTAACGCTCTTCAAAAATTTCATGTAAATTAATCCATAAACTAATTTAGGTGTGAAAAAATTACATGTTATGTGTAACAAGTTCCATGTAAAATGAATAAAACCTTCCCATACTCTTACCTACCTTTCATGTAAACCATTATGTGACACCATGTAAAATAATGTGTGATCATGGTAACATGAATGTGAGACAATTACATGTTAATTGTAATTGATTCCATGTAAATTGAACACGCACAGAAACACCCACAATTACATTCTATGGGTAGTGTCTTCAATGTCAAGTAATACCTGATCCTATCTTATACAATTGTCTAGGACTTGTAATCTATACATTTAGCAATCACAGTTAAGAGAAGAGACGCATATTGTTCGAGGCTCAATGAATTGCATGTTTTTTCACATGACTTGAAAAATAAAGGCAAGGTGAAGGGTCTATAAAATGTTAGTGTAGCAAGAAAGGGTTGGAAAAATCTATCTAAAAAAGAGAGAAACCATTTCAACAAAATAGATGAAGATAAAAAGCATCATAGAGCATGTGTGTCTTTATCTAATGAAGCCTTAAAAGAGAGATTGATTAAGCCTTGCTCGCCTAAACAAGTTATTGAAGTAGTTGAACATGTCAAATAAAGTGAAAGGCATATGGTGAGGGCCAATGCAATCAGTTTGGCAAGCTCCTTAACATCAAGTGCACCCAAATAAATCATGCTCTATGTGGAAGTTTGTTGAGAACAATTGACCTAAAAGCAAGAATGCTATCAATAAAGCAAATTGAGCTACAAGTTGATGCCTATGACATGCACACGCTTATGGGCTTACCTAAAGAAAGAGGGGTGGTGGTCGAAAAAGTTGCTATAGAAGGTGAGCTGTACAATGAATTGAAAGGGAAGTATGTTGGGAAAAGATTTTTAGACATAAAAAACATTATTGTTAGAGGTAATGGTGATGATGATATGTTTAAGATGTTGTTTGTTTTATACATATTGGGTATACTTTTATACCCTCCTACGAGAGGAAAAGTGAATTCATGATTAATGAAGATCATCTCTTGTGGGAAAACAGCTTTGACTTCCTACAATTGGAGTAAATTTGTTGTTAAATAGTAAATGAGAAAGGTTGAGCAATACAAGAAGGCTACATCTAATAGTGAGAAAAAAATTATACGTTGGTGACTGTCTTTATTTCTTGATGGTAAGTAACATAATTTGATTGTTCTTACATGTTTATTACCTTATGTACATGACATATTTTTCAACCTATGATTGCATATTATGTTTCAACTTTTTCTCAGATGGTAGTGAGGTGGTAGAGTCAAGTAATGCATTACTCTATTAGAAGGATGAGAAAATAAAGCAAGCTACTATAAAGGAGAAGGAGAGTGTCCAAGGGGTCTTATTTTCAAGTTCTGTATCAGAGGTGGAACACACAGGACACACACCACTCAGAATGACCAAAAAACCTATGAAATCTACACTACAAGCAATACCAATGAAATCTAGGCAGCAGAAGGATAATCAAGCTAGTGATCCTCCACAGCTTACGTTTAATAATCTGACACATTTTAAGTTGAGTATTGCATTTGATAGGTCATTTTCTTTATATTCCATGGCCTTATTTATGCTTTTGGTGCAGAAAATGAAGCATACTTATAGCTGAATAATGGGATCACTTGGTGTTGCTGCTAAAGAGGATGCTATAGCCATAATTGGAATAAATGAAAGGTGTTGGTGCAGCTATTGATGAATTAAATGAAGAAGCTATTGTCAAGTTTATCTAGAGGCTGAGTTGCAAAAGCTTAAATATAGATGTGAGGAGGTGTTAATGAGGTCAATGAGAGCAATATATAGGATAGAGATGACATTGGTAAAGGGACTGATGTACATGGGGCAAAAGTGGAAAGCAAGGATCCAAGCAAAATTGAAGTTAATGCTAAAGTGAATCCCATTATTGTTGACTCTAAGGAATCTCACGACATTGCACATGAGTTACAATTGGCACTACTAGAGACTTTTTGCTTGGGTGTGGTAAAAGAAGAGGATGCTTTTCATGGACCAATTCATTAAATTATTTTTTTGTTGCATCTGTGTTCAAATTGTTAAAAGTCAAAGACATTGATTGTTATGTTTTGGGTTTTAATGGTTTGGTTACAAATGTATTAAAAAAATAACTTTATGGATACTCATGTACTTTTCTTCACTTTAGGCTACTGGATGCTCCTAATTGACAATTTCTTGGGCGTTTTTGCTTCTTTGTTCAAAAATTACTATGCAAAAAAAATTATAATGTACGCCTTGATATTACTAGCACACTACACAAAAAACTAATTGTAACGTCCAATCATCAAAAAAATTTTATTTGGCATTAAGTTCCGAGGACACCAACTTCTTCATGATCTCATGGCCTTCACCGCCTGTGTGATTCTATCCACTGAATTCGTTCATATCCTTCCCAACGCCATTCGAGAGTTTGACTTCTCCTTGGGGTGACTACCACTACCAAAAAAATGTTTTTTTTTTTAATGGTGACTTTCAATTGTGGTCACCAAATGTGGATATTTGGTGATAACTTTTAATCATTGCCATCAAAAATAACTTAGCAATGACATTTTGTCACTATCAAAAATATTTTTATAAAAAATAATTTATATAATTACTTTTAGCGGTAACATTTATTGTCACAAAAAGTATTGTTTAAAAAATTAAATACACTTTTAAATTATATGAAACAATTTATAAAATTGTTATTAGAAAAAAAATCTCTTATGATTTATTTTAAAAATTTATATATAATCAGTAATGTTTCAGTTGAAGAATGGTCCTTTCTGGTTAATATATATGGGGCTTTGTATCTTTCTTGTTTTCTTGTTTGAATTTGGATGATTTGGTCGTCACTAATGCTTTAATTAGTGGAAATTTAAAAACCATGTGAGCTCATCTCTATTTCAACTTTGCACCGTTGACAGAAATGGTAGGATAGTGTAACCTCGACAAATTATTGCATAGGGCATGTTGTTGGGCAAATACTTTATATTCTCTTTGATCTATAATTAAATATATAATAATACAAATATCAATGACAACGCACACATATTAGGGGTATTAGGATTTTTTTTTTTTTCCAGGAGGCCTAAGGTAATTGTCTTACTTGCCTTATGGCTTAGACGCTCTCTGAATATGTTATAAATAGTAAAAAGTCAAAACCATTTAACTAAAAGAGACATGATTGAACCATCTCCTAAAAGCAAATTTCTTGCGTGCCAGATAAACTCTGTGATGAGTTGCCAAAGCAATAGAGTGAAGTTGCAACAGATCATAGTGCTCAACGAGTTTTGCAACATCACAAGTGAAAGAGACATATAACAATAAATGGTCATTGAGCACTATGATTTGTTGCAACTTCACTTTGTTACTTGGGCAACTCATCACATGGTCTATCTAGCATGCTAGAAAATGGCAATTGGTGAGGGCACATTGAATTTTCTTGCATGTCAGATAGATTAATATGAGAATAGTTAGAATGCTTTGATCGTTGAAGTAATTTCAATGCAGCATCAGCTAGAATCTTAAACTTGTTGATTTTTTGGCTACTGATTTTATAACTGATGGAATGCAAAAGAGTAGTCATCTTCAATGTGCAGCAAATATTTTTGGATTTTTTGGTACCTGTTTGATGTCTCTTCCAGCCAAATGGGCTTGACTTGGTTGTTCAAAGGGAAGCATTAGGAATTCTTGTTAGGCTGTGAGGACTCATTAATTTTTCTCAGTCTAACAAGAATTCGTAATACTTCACTTAGAAGAACCAAGCTTCAAGCCCATTTGGCTAAAAGGGATATGAAACTAGCACCTAAAAGCACAAAAATATTTGCTGCACATTGAAGACAAGTACTGTTTTGCATTCTCTCAGTCATAAAATCAGCTTCTAAAAAATCAACATATAGACTAAGATTCTTGCTATGCTGCATGGAAAATTCCTTCCACGATCAAAGCATACTGACTATTCTCATCACATGCTTATTCTGAATTCCTATTCCAATCGCTATCCCCATCGGAATTGTCAGAGCAAAGAACAATACCATCGTAGCTATGGTTTTGTTCTTGAATTTGGCCAGTCATAATCAAGAAAATCGGAACATATTAATTGAAGTTCGCCATAATCAGAACATTATTATAATTAGGTTATACATATGATATACTATTAGACTTTACAAAGAAGAATGTGGTCAAGTAACATACCCGAGTGATGCACCTTCCAAGGCCCATGCCCTCAAAGAATTGATGAAAGGTCAAAGGAGCAACAAGTGGCATTGTGACTTGAACACTCCGAGATGCTCCCAAAGAAACTCCTATTATCACTGAATGCACTATGGTCCCCATCTCCAATACTTTCATATTCACCATTAATTCATTCCATCTAAGTATAACATATTCTAACTACTTAAAGCTAAAAAAATGCTCGGAAATAACTAAAAAAATAGTCATTACACAGAGTACATACCTGTGAAATGACTCTGACGAAAGAGTTGATGAGATGAACTAGAAGAATCCAATGATCTATGAACAAGAGCATCGCCTTTAGTTCCGGCGCTTTTCTCTTTCTCTACGCTGGCTTCAATCTGCCCATTCTTCATATCAAGTCTCTTGAAATACGCAGGCGCGAAAGTGTCCACCATTAGGTTCCCAAGGCAGTACATATATATGCAAAACCAGTGAAGGGAAAGTCTTCCCATGGATGTTCACTCAATTGGCGTCTGTGAAACTCGTTGATAAATAAATGGCCATGACCTTCACGACATGGCTCTCAAAGCTCACATGAACAGTGTGGGCTTGAGATATGGTTAGCAAATTTCGTTTTCCTTGTACTGCTCCAAAACTTCTTGTTCAGATATTCTTCTCACATTATATGTATCCTATGTTTAGAAAAAAGATAAACTTATAGGATACATATAATGTGAGGAGAATATCTGAACAACAGAAGTTTTGGATCAGTTCAAGGATGCCAATCGAATCTCAAGCCCCCGGAAACTACGAAAGAAAGGAAGAAGAAGAGGCACGGAAGAGAATTTCATTAGAATGGGACTAGAGAGAGAAATCACTCAAATCATCCACAACCTTTCCAGTAGCCTTGTCTCTCAATATAAATAGTCTGAGGACCTATATATGCTCCACTCACTTTCACGTGCCCTTGTAACAACCTCGTGATAAGCATATTCCATTCTACCATCATAATCTTTATTGCTTATTCATATGGTCATGTTTTCATCATACATCATGACTTGAACCTTAGCTCGTCCATTTATTTAAATTAACCTTATACGTGTTTGGGGTGTTCATTCGGCAGTGTATCTAAGATCAGATTATAGTGCTCAAAAAGTTTAATTTTAATTTGCAGACATCACCAATTGTCATTTTCTTTAGGCCAGATAGACCATGCACGATCGAGGTTGCCAAAGCATGTGTACATCAACTTATACAAAGCGCCAAAACGATCGTCAATGAAGGGGTAGAGCCGTAGAGGTAAGCAACAGAGTTGGTTACGTTGAAGTTTCGTTTTAGGATATTTTTTTTACAATAAGAAGGCAAGCCAAAGCTTGAAATCGTTTTAGGATATTTAAAAAGTGACTTTCGCTAATGATAGGGACGGCATCCTGGATGCTTGTGAAGATTGAAACGAGGAAATTAAAAGCAGCCCATGCCAGTTGTTACAGCTCATTTGTTACTTCTAATTAAGTTGGATCAATCCTTTGCTGGCCAGATCCAAGCGAGTAGCTTTTTTCTAATTACACTTCCTCTGGTTTAAAATAATTATTTTAAAATTTTAACGAAGCATTAATTAAATTTTCCTCAACGAAAATAGTGCTAGATGGAGAGCTCAAATAATAATAATAATAATTATAATAATAATAATAATAATTATTATTATTATTATTATTATTTTGTTAGCTACTATTAAATTTTGTCATATTTATTATACTTTTATTATAAAATTTAATACATTTATTATTCTCCGAAAAAATGACATGGGAAGTACGTGGCATGCATTTCTAAAAAGTTATTTGTTTTATCTTTGGATAAAATAGTGAATTTAATCATACATTATTTTTCAAGAAACATTTAATAGCATAAATAATCGGATAGTGTAAAATAAATCACAAACTTTCGAGAATGAAGCATTCAATAGCCCGCCATTAACTACAGCTAACGGACGTTATGTGAAACACAAAATAACATGTGGCATGACATGGGCACAACATGTCAACATAGTAAAAGTACAAATTTAGCCACGACTGTTTTCTAATGAGTATTGGATAGCCTCTACTATAAAAAAATGGATCATCCAACATTTTTTCCTCAATTTTAACTAAACATTATTTATTTTCATACTTATAATACCTACAAAGCATTAATCTCTTCAATCTTTTTACTTTTGTTTTCAATATCAGCTAGATATTTAAAAAATTTTTATTTGAAGACATTCACAAGGACAATGCCAATGAAATATTAGTTTTTTAATTATAAGCAACAACATCAATTGCTATATTGGTAACTTTACTTGTTAATTTATTAACATTAATAATTTTATATAACGAGTAAAAAATATTTTAGTTTTTTTTATTAAAATTAGTTTGACTTTTATTCTTTGCACTGAGTTAAAGTTTCAAAAAAAAAAATGGATACATCAGTGATTAAATCTCATCCGTAATCCTTAACCGAGGGGGAAAAAAAACAGAGAGAGAGCCATGCTTGCTCCGTTTCTTGGACTGTCTCGTCACTTTCCTGGACCCATGGCCTGGGCCACTTTTGATTCCTTTGATGTCTCATTTCACATCTTGAGACTTTTCCGCAGGTGAAATCTCCGATAATTAATCACTGTACCTTTTCAATTATCGGAGAAATTAATCGGTTGGTGGTGAATTGATGATCATTAAAATATATATATATACATATATTAGGTTGGTGGTACTATGATCAGCTAATAATTCCTCCAAATTATGAGTTACTCTTTTGAATATTTACAAACAACACAATTCTTAATTATTCCGTACTCCCTCCTTTTGATTCAAAATATATATATACACTCCTCTCGATTTTAATTATAGGACAAAAATTTTAAAATTTTATTTTATTCTAAATACTTCCTTTGTCTTATTTATAAGAAAGAGGGAGAAAAAACTTTTTTGTCTCATTTATAAATAATTTCATTAAATTTTTATCAAAAATTTTTTTTTATCATTCATTGAATGTTTGATAGAAAAAATATATTATTAAATTTATTAAATAAAGTTAATGAGGTTTGAAATTTTTTTTAATATCAATAAAATATGTTAAAAATAATTTATAAATAGAATTAGATGAATATAAAGCAAAGATGTAGTAATTAATATCTTGTTCGAATATTGCCCCTCCTTAATTGCATCAAGTTATACTTAGACACTTTATTGTGATCGTTAGTTTTAGTGAAGAAAATCAATCTATCTTAATTTCCTATAATTTCTCTTGTATATAATCTCTCTCTTTACTGCTCATAGGTACAAAATGTTGGAGGTAAAAACAATAAAAAAAATTACTAAATCAAAGAATATTTAAAAATTTTGATATAAAGATGATAAAAGGAAAAGTAAAAAAATAATAATAATTAAGAGTAAGGTAAGCTAGGAAAAGCATGCCAACTGTGATAGTCAGAGCAAAGGACAATCCCATCATTGCTATATGGTGTTATTCTTGAATTTTGCAATTTTAAGTGAATAAAACTTTGTCTCCAACAAAATAATGATGTGAATTTTTGTTATAGAATGCTGCATTGAAATTTTTGTCAATTTATTTATAAAATAACTTTTTACAAAATTATTTTATAAAATGGAAATTCCATTTTTCACCAAAAAATTTAATTGCAAGAGAAACTTTTAGATTTGCAAAATTATTTCAGTTTTTATTGAGCTTTTAATGCTAATATATTGGTTGCAATTCTCTATGGAATTTGGTCTGTAGTTTTTAAATTCTTTATCCAGTACACATAGCTAAATTAGTTCAACATATATAGCTGGTCAGAATAATAGCAATCTTGATTTTTTTTTTTTTTGGCTAACAAATTGGCTCATGACTTGCCTCGGGATATATTTCAATTTTTTTTACATCCTCTCCTCCAAATTTGACTGTGGAGGCTAATGTACAAGACAATTTTATCGCTCACCATTGAGCTTGTTTGTCTTTTTTTTTTTTTGATTGTTTTGATATAAATGCATTTTTCATTTTAAAAAAAAAAGGGGGAAGGATTCTAGCCAAATCCTCAGCTTCGTTCCACCATAATATAGTTTTCGTTATCAAAAAAGTGTTGCGGTTACCTTACCTTAATTAGCAGACCCGCTGCAGCTGATCACAAAACAAAGATGAAAATCTTCATAGACAATATACTGCATCATAAGGAACATATTTTTTAAAGTTGGAATTCATTAATTTTTGTGAAATTTTTTTCTTTAATATTTTCTCTCATTTTATTATTTTTATAAAATACAAAATCTTCTCTCTCTTAAACTTCATGAAATTCGCACACTATTCACACCATAATAAATACTACTCCCTCTTACACCAAAAAAAATTCAAACCATAATATAAAGCATTAATAATAATAACCACTCCCTCAAATCCAAAATATAAGTCATCATAGTTTATTATATATAAAAAAAATATTTTTGTCCTTATTAGGCATTAATAATAATAACTACTCCCTTCAATCCAAAATGGACAATTGCAAATTGAAAAAGAAAAGTTATAATTACTTATTTTATTTTAATAATTATTATAAAAAGTATCCTTCGTTTAAATTAAAATACTCACAAATATTTTCAACATTTAAATTTTAATGAATAAAAATTTGCATAAAAAATTTGAACAGTAGTCTAGTGATTTTTTTCACAAAAATGAAGATAAATAAGAATATTTTGATGTTTTAATAAATAAAATCATGTGATAACTTTTTTAATTTACATGAAAATATTTAAAGCATTTTATAATCAGGACAAATACAATTAAACAAATGGACAAAATTACTTTAAAAAAAAAAAAACCAAACATTGTGTCGTCACAGATCCCCTCACCCTGATCAACTTGCTCAAAGTAAATATTAAATAATAAATGGTTAGCAAATTTCCTTTTCCTCCTGCTCCAAAACTTCTCTTGTTCAGATATTCTTGATCTTACTTTATATAGTCATCTTCTCTTGGCAGGCCAAAGCCTCCATCTATATATATATATATTTATTAGGATTATAACTTCTTACGTGTCCTTCTCTAATACTTTTTATAATATTTAAATTTTTTAATTTTATTTTTTATTTTTTAAATCATTAATTTTAAAAAATTACAAAAAATATAAATTTTAATTGTTTTAAATATTAAGATATTAAAATATCTCTTATTTTATGTAAAAATTAATAATTTAAAAAGAATTAAAAAATTGAGATTTTATCGGAGAATTAAAATTTTCCAGCCCTCTCTTTTATATCTATATATAGCTCTATCCCATTTCCTCTTCCACAATAAATATAATCATGAAAACTAAACACACAGTCAGTCGCTGCAACTCTCAAAAGCTAAGTGCTCGTTCCTTTGTAGGGTTTCGTTCTTCGAAAGTGGAAACTCTTTCGTTTCTTCCATATAATTCATCAAGCCCATTGATTATAAACTCCACAATTCCCCTCCTGTAAAATTTTTTCACCATTTTCGTGTAATTTTTAGTTTTCCCCCTTTCTGGAAACAACTCGCAGGTCAAGCAATGTACATCAAGGATATTTACTTGGAAGATTTCAAATCCTATGCTGCCAGAACAGTTTTTCTGGGTTTTGATCCAAACTTCAATGTCACCACGGGTTTGAACGGCACCGGCAAGTCAATTGGAATTTTGTTTATTGCCACATGCCGTGCTGTCACAGTTGTCTGAATGCTATTATATCCAATTGAAATTTTAGGAAGGAAGCTCTATTTAATTCTTTTACCTAAATGCGTTTTACATTACTCAGAATTTGGTGTTTTAAATCATGACTTTCTGATTTATGCTCTTGCTTTTTGCTTGGAATCTTTTTCTTATTTCTGCCTTTGAAACGTTGTTTTCTTTCTTATGTGTGAGTCCTTTTAATGTCTATCGGAACATAAGGCAAGAGTTTGAGACAACGCCATCCATTCTTCTAGGTACTCCCATAACTTGTTATTTGCTTTCAAGCTACATTGTTGGATTTACTCTGTTCTGAAATGTATCTTTCATTGCACTGGATAATTCTACTTCCTAGTTGCTTGGTTTTGTCTGTTAAATTTGACAGTAAAGAATTGCCTTTTTTGTAGGTCCTGATGCTGTCAAGTATATAGTTAATCATGCTACTGTACAAGTTATATTTTGTGTGTCTCATTAAATTCAGTAAGTATATGTCACTATGCCAACTTCAGTTATTTCTTGATATTATATGCTACGTTCTTACGTTGCAAGCACCATGTTAGTCCAAGCATCTTGTTTAACGTGTAGTTTAACTTTAATAAAAATCCTTTGGATATGTTAAGAAAAACAAGAATCTGGTTGGGATCTTTTTCAAGAAAACTGATATCAGAGCACCGTAGTATTAAGCTTGATTACCACATTATACAAAAGCATTGATTATATTTTGAGGCCAGTTACATTTTCCTAGTGAGCAGGGGAAGAAGTTTGTTACTATGAAAGTGCTTAGCATCACTTAATTGGTTAATTGAGATGAAATACTTTTGATTCCAAAAAGGAAGACACTTCAGACGTTCTTTTCCATTATTGTTCATTTGGATTAAAATTCTGTATTAATTAATGAGGTTTGATTCTTGAGAAGTACAACTTTATACAACTAATTGCGGTGTTTCTTTAAGGCAACTGTCCTGTTCTGCTTTCTTTTCTTTGTATGCATTTATCTCTTCCTTCTACTTTTCGTGCCTCTGTCCAAAATTCTTTATAGTGTGATCAATTTACAATTTCATCAGCATGAGCATGTCTTTAAATTAATAATGGGAGGGGGGAAGCTTAAAAAAGAAGAGTGACAGGTCGAGGAAGCACTAGAAAAAAAAAAAAAAAAAGCAAAGGAATCAACTTTGTGAAAGCCAATCTGGTTTGTTAGGATAAATCTAGCGAGTTATAATTACAATCTTTTATAAAAGTGTGATTTTATTTTCTTATTGTTTTTTGGTAAGTCATATGACATACTGTCTGGGATTATATCCATTATATAAATAAGAACTTCAAACAGAGCATCAGACCTCTAACAAGAATCCCACGCACTAGTAGATATATGTGTGTGTGCGTGTGTGTGTGCATAAATCTCTCTCTCTTAGAAAGGGTATAAGAAGGTGTGGAAACAAAAGAGCTAGCGTCAGGGGGTTTATCTTTTAGGGACCATCTTGGAATTGAAGGCAGAGCTGAAATGTCCTACAGGTCTGAGTTTTTGAAAGTATGTGTGACTGAATTAAATTAAAGAGTATAAAAATCATGTGGCCTCTGCATTGACTGTACAATGGTTGTGCTAATTTATTTTCCTTAATTTGTTTGTGTTTTGATTCTAGGTTGCATTTACAAGGTGCATTTTGTTTTTTTTTTTTTTTTTCTCCTGGTAATGTGTTGTTACAGGGTAATCTTGATGAAGCTGCGTCAATATGCGCGTGTCTTGAAACGGATAAATAGTTGTTCTCCAGATATGAAAATGTCAGATTTTTATTTATCTATATTGTTCCATTGATATAAGTATTGCATTATTTATTTCATTCTAGTATTTAACTATTTATGGAACCTTTATGTCATTGCTTGTAATAAATTGAGTTAAATTATATTATTATAAATGTTATGTTTGATTGAGAATTGTGGGCTATTTGTTGTTAATTCTCTCTCCAATCCAAAAAAAAAAAAATACCCTGTTATTTTTTTTAAAAAATGTCACCCTATGTTAGGTTGTTATTGCTAGGATCATCCAATATAGAGTTTCATTTATTGGACGGTTTATATAATTGTCTAATATATGTTTTGTAAGTATATGACGGTTTTATATTAAATGGTTGATAACCGTTCAATATAAGCTAAAATAATTATTCAATATAGCCAACGGGAATGCGCATAGATATACCATGTCATGCTGAAATGTTTTTAAATGAATTAAGAAAACTGATGTTCTTTAATTAGTATATGCTAAATTTTAGGAAATGAAGTATTTTATTTAAATTTTAATATAACATAAATTAATGGTTTTTTAAGAAATCCAAATTAACTTAGGCATGTTAATTTGATTTTCACTTGCCGTGAAATGAGTATTGTGTTATGAATTGAGTTTCCCGGAATTCCAATGGGAATGGCAACTGGCATGGAAATTACTAATGTTTATTAATTATTATGAGAGTAGTCTGCTATCTTATTAATTATTAAAATAATTTTTAATGTTGCAGGAATAATCTTAATCTGCATAGCAGGATTTGTTTTAGCTGCTGCCACGCAATGTAAAACAATACTCATCTTCAACTTGAATCCAAAACAATACTCAGTTATGATGCTTTAAGCTTTTGACTCAAACTAATTTGATATCAGCGCAAAGTTTTGCCCTAAACAAATTTCAGTCAAAACCAAGCTCAAATACCACTTATTAGGGATTGATGACCTTTCTTTTCTTAAAAAAAGTTATGGTTTTTTTTCTTCTGATATACTAATTTTTTGACTTGGATTAATTTGATATTAAGGCAAATTTTCACCTCAAACAAGTCACAGGCAAAACAAAGCCCTGATGCTACTTGGCTAGGATGAGGGATTGTACTATTTCAAAAAGTGGTGGTTTTTTATAGAGCCAATAAGTTGGACAGGTCGGATTTAATTTAGGTTAAATTTATTCAAATCGAACTAAAAGTATCATACCTTATATAAAAAACCAATATAGCTAAGTTCGATCCTAATATTTTTGGGCTTTGAATTTATTCAGGCTAGCATAAATATTTGAAACTATGTAAAAATATTTTTTCTTTATTTTTTGAATTAATTTTAATTTTTAAGCAACTCTGTTACTATTTTATTGTATTCTACATAATTTATTCATAAATGTTTCCTTTATTTATAAATTAATGTTTTAGTTATTTAAATATTGCTCTTATCATGGTATATATAAATATTTATATATTTTAATTAAATTATGATTAAATTAACATCAATTCAATCACAGTTAAACCATTAACTTAAAAATATTGCTCTAATTAGTTTAAAGTTTTCAATAACTTTTGCATAAACTATGCTTTTTGTTTTTAAGAATGTGAAAAAATCATCATTATATTATATAAAATAAATTTTTTTATTATGAGTAAAATATTATTTTTTATGAAATTATTTTTTAACTTTTTATATTGTTTAATCCCTACATACAAGGAATATTTATTCTAATTTATTTTTAATTTTTAACCAAGTCTGGTATGGACGATAACCAAAATATTATTCAAAAATATTATTTTATTTATTATGTTTATCTAATAATAGAATCAAGAATTCGTACATACTCAAAATTTATTTTTAAAATTATTTTCAATTTAATTTTTATTTAAAATTAATTATCTTATTTTATAAAAATACAAAATATATTGTTTAGGATACTCAAGCCTCAAACGATGTATAAGACTCAGCTTTTTATAAAATAAAAAAATAAGCGGGTCTTAAAATATAAAATAACTACTAAAATATATTTTAAATATTATTTTGTGATATTTTATTTACTAAAAAATAATACAATATAAAAATATAAAATTTTTATTTTTAAAAAAATAATTATATTAATGCATTCAAATATATGATATTCTATTAAAAAATGACATACAACTTAAAAAATTAATTAATATTTGTCATATTTATATATTTTTTAAAGTATTACTTTTTTATTTGGGTATTTAGGTGAAGCCCAAAATTGATCAGGCTGGGTTCAAATAAACTCAAACATAAAAAAGTTATTTTTTGAGCTTGACGTTAAATTTTTTAAATGGATTCGGGCTGGTCTATCCGACATTCGAGCTTAACTCAAATTATCGACTCTATTTTTTATCTTTCATTACAATATCTTATGCTTTTTATTCAAACTAATTTGACATTAAAATAAGGTTTTGCTCCAAATAAGTTTCAAGTGAAATTAAGTTTTGATATCACTTGTTAGAAATGAGAGACATTTTTTAAATTATCTTTTAATTTGGGATGAAAGGAGTAGCATTAAAATAACTTGTCACTGTGAATCCCATCAAATATCCCAAAAAAACAAAAATAGTAGTCGCTATTAACAGCCACCCATAGGCATCATTTGTTAGAGTAATTATAAATTTTATTATTAAGGTAATATTTTGTTACATGTGAATTTCATATCTGTAAATTAATGTTTGTAAAATTAATAATATTATTTACATTTAATAATTTTAGGTTTTTTTTGTTGAATTTAAATCTCAAATTGAGCATTCTTTTCTAAATTCACAAACTTGAAAACGCGTTGTTTTGAATCCCAAACTTTCCTATATTTTAAAATATGTTTCCTAATGTTCATTGGCTTTCAAAAAAAGTAGTCTTTGTTGTTATTATTTACAATCTCTAAGTGTTGTTTTCAACAGTTTTAAAGTTTTTATTAGAATCAAACTCTCATTTACCTTACGCAATTACAAACACTACAAATTATCATTGTATTTCCCTTTGTTGAAGTTTCCTTCTACTCTAATATATGTTTTTGACCACATAATAAATGTGTGTAAATAATGAGTGTGTTGGTATTTTGCTTCAAGAAAATTTTAAATACTTTTTATCATTGTTTTTAAACATATTCATATTTCATTTATTACTCATTTTGAATAGTGCATTGGAAATTACTAAGAACATATTTATGATATTTAATGAGGATATAATTAGAAAGATATACAATTTTTTAAAGTAAAAATAATAAAATATCTGCAAATTAATGCGCAACTTGAAATTCCAAGAAATTTCTGAAGTGAAAAAATGGCTCTAAAATAGTAAGAAAGTGTTTAGATTGATGAGTTTGAATTTAAATTTTAGATTTATCATGTTTAACGTTCATGTATTTAAAATTTTTTATTTGAGTAATTTAAAAAATTTAAATTGTAATATTAAAATCTTTTGTTTGAATTATGTAAAAAATTCAAATCACCATAATCAACTTCTATTTTATTATGTTACATTTAAGTTATTAACCAGACTTTACCCTCAATCATTCTTTTTTTTTTGGGAAAAAAATTTGATCAGTAGAAAAAAGTAAATAATTCATTTGAAATAATGAATTAAAGAGTTGACTTATCATCCAACAATAAAGCAAAGTATTAAGAATGTTATGAAATTTCAAAAACACGAAAAATAAATATACTGGATACCAATTCTAGATTATGAATACTATCAACTTTTCATAAGAAATCGAATCCATTTTCTTTTTCCATCATCTGGAAGGGACTTTAGTTAATTAAACTTTATTGAATTACCATTCATTAGCTTTCTAATAGCTTGGAACACCTGTAATTTTTGTAGTCTTTCAATTTGGGAGACTACACCTTGAACTTCTTTTCTCCATTAGATTCTTTTATCCTTTTCAAATGTTCTTTGAGGCCCCATTTGATATAATGAAAGAGTTTTTAATAGAATTAGAATCAAAATGAATTGACTTTTAAAAGTGTATTTAGTATGAAGATGGAATTATAATATAATTTTAATTAGTATATATACTTAAAATAAGAAAAGACCAAATTATCTTTTTTTTCAAAATTAAAAAGACTTACCTTGTCATAAATGGACAAAAAAGATGAAGATAGTGGAGTCCACAAAATAAATTTAAAAGGATTGAAGCAATTCCATGGTCAATATGATAAAATTAAATTCTAACACTTTTGAATCCCTTCAGGGACATTCGATAGAATTCTAGCATTTTTGATAGAATTATAATTTTTGAGAATTGCAATTCCTACATACCAAACATACTTAAATTAGGATTCATCTCTGATTTCATTTCCACCTTGTAAATTCAATCATACTAAACATGACCTAAATAAGTAAGCTAGCTACCTCAATTAGTGTTTCAGCTAACTGATCCTTTTTTATTATTATTATTTAAACCCTTTTAACTTTCTCATAGCTGTGTGGACTTGACCTTGAAGTATTCTGCTCCTTAAATTAATATTAGAGTTCACTTCATTCCCTTCTTGATACTCCTATATCACATGACAATGTCAACAGCAAGAACGTTGGTATGACTTAAGAGAGCCAAAAAGAGAAGCAAGGATGTTGTTGTCAGCAATAACAGCGAGCCTTGAAAACTAAGGGAAAGAATAAATAGGCGAAAAATAATGAATGATATCACGTCTTAATCTAATCTTCACTTTAGTTTCTTTTATAGGGCACCTCTATATAATTTTTATTATCATCTTTATCATTTTGTTTTTATTAAACACTGAAGTATTTTATGTTTAAAGTATATATATTTAATAAGAATAAAATTAAAAACTTGTTGAATTTTAAATAGAGTTAATGCACTTTAATAATTCTTTTAAATTCGATTGAAATATATTAAAAAAGATTAATAAATAGGATTAATATGACAAAAGGGGATTATTTCTAGATAGAAAATACCCCTATGATCTTCATCATAAGTTCTTTTTTTCCCTGAGCTTTTCTTAGTCTAGTTTAATAATATCTAGTGTATTTATTATTTTTTTTCTATTTCACTTTTATGTAAAATTATATATTTCAATTAATGTAATATTGAATTTTGATAAAGACAAATTTAAAAATATTCTAAATCCTTTTTTATAACCAATATTATGACGTA